GTTGATTTCGAAATTTTTCGAAAAAAAAAAAGTTTCTGAAATTTTTGGAATAGGGGGTAATTGGAGAGAATTTCGAATTTTAGGGGTTTTAGAGAGATAAACTGTTTTTTACTTTGAACGGTAAATAGCAGTTATTAACCCGTAAAGAGCATTTTCTTATTTTTATGGTGTATCTCTTATGTTAGTGAGGGATAATTCAATGATGCCTAGAGATGTCCCTAAGGGACAATCTTGAATTAAGTGAGCTCGTGTCAATTGACCCAAGTTCGAATTTCATTGTCAACGGTCGCTAAGTCGAGCTCCTAGTGTAGTTTACGTCTATCGTATGGTTTACAAGCTATTGTACGAGAGTGTATGTTCACCCAGTGCATCTGTATGGTTGGCTGTTGTTCCTTCATTACCAAAAAAAAAATGCCTAGAATCGTATCAAATTACGAATTAAACTAGGCTCATCTCAAAAAAAAAAAAATCAAGCTTTGAATAATCTTATAGGCTCGTTTTATTTGCTCATTTTATTTGAATAAAATAAAATTCTGAGGATAGTTTTGTTTCATTAGAAATAAATAAAACTAAAATTACATCTTACAAATTCTTCTTTGTTTACAAACATTACATCCCTGTCAAGAAATATACCGTGTGTGTGTGTGTGTGTGTCTATATATATATATATATATATATATATATATATATATATATATATATATATATATATATATATCCTAATCCAACGAGTGTTTGACAATTTACAAAGCTGCAGTCAAGTGAATTCTTACTAGAGAAGAGTAGAAACCATCTTGCACATTGATGAGTGTGTGGTGATTCCCTTTCTCCACAATGCTTCCGTTTTTAAAAACGGCAATTACGTCTGCTCCTCTGATTGTAGACAGCCTATGTGCAACAACGATAGTTGTCCTATCCAGCATTACTTTGTCGAGTGCTTCCTGTACTATTTTCTCTGACTCAGAATCCAATGCGCTTGTGGCCTCGTCTAATAGTAATATTTTGGGGCTCTTCACAATGGCTCGTGCAATTGCGACTCTCTGCTTTTGTCCACCCGAAAGCTGTATCCCACGTTCCCCTACTATTGTGTCATAGCCCTGCCATAAAATCATAGGATTTTCGAATAATGTAAAAATTTGAACATCTTAAGCAACAAAAGAATAGATCATTAAGCTATCTCGACAGGATCAAATCTAAACAACTGGGATATAAGTCGTTCCATAGACTCGATGACAAATTTTTCAATCCAAATGTTTGTGTAAACACTAACGGAAAATTAAAACCACGTGCAATTCAACTCTAGCAAAAATGATCTATGATGGAAAAACTTGTCATACTTGTATGAATGGCATGATTAACCTTTGGTATTGAAAAAATTGCATGGATCTTTAACTCGAGTTCATTAATCAAACATCGTCATATTCTTCCAAGGACTCTAATACCGAAGAATATTCGTCTATAACAAACATATGCAATTGAATGAGATAAGTAATAAAATGAGTAAAATAAAACATATAAACAAGAATAAGTACAAATTGTAATCTATATGTATAATATTATTAACTTACGGATTGTTTTATGTACGTATTGTGTCGTATCAATTTATTATACTATATATGATAAATAAAAATGATGTCATTTTAACACAAGATCCGATGAATGTGTTATGAGAGCCCAACATGCCCGCCTCTAGTTGATACAAGTAAATGCGGGAGATTTTAAGAATTTTATAACCTGTTGTAGTCCACTAATGAAATTATGTGCATTTGCCAACTTTGCTGCAGCTATAATTTCTGCCTCGGTTGCACTTCCTCCTCCCTTTCCGATGGCAATGTTGGCTCGGATTGTGTCGTTGAACAAGATTGGCTCTTGGCTCACAAGCCCCATTTGCTGCCTTAGCCATTTTAATTGGAACTTGTGTATCTCAATTCCATCAAGTGTTATTTGACCTGAATCGGGGTCGTAAAATCTCTGAAGTAATGAGATAACAGTTGATTTCCCACTTCCACTCTCCCCAACTAGTGCAAGAACCTAAATCATTGGACTAAAAGTTTGTATTGACAAAATATATATATATAGATTCATATGTTCGAAATATTTTATGAACACTGGTATATATATATATATATTCTAGCTAGTTTTCACCTTGCCATTGTTGATTGCCAAGGAAAGATCCTTCAAAATCTGTACACCAGGCCTTGTTGGATAGCTAAAGTTGACATGTTCGAGTTGAATTTCTCCATTAACATTTTCTAAAGTCGTGCCGGACTCATCACTAGGATCGATCTTGGATTTCCTATCGAGAATGGCAAATACAGAGGCAGCTGCAATTTTCGCTTTGCTTGAATCCGGAGCTAGCGAGCTCGATGCAGAAATTGCAATCGCCACCATAGCTAGAGCATAAAATACCTGCATTTTTTATATTAGTTTTCACTGGGTACAAAAAAGCACAAGAAAAGTGAATGCATGCCGGACAGAGAAGATATATACTTACACGGAATAACTCCGAAACGGTAATCTTTCCATCCTGAACAAGTCGGGCTCCCGCATAAAAGCTGGTGGCATACACCAAATACAAGAAGGATGTGGATAAACCGAATCCTACTCCACTTATCAGTCCTTGTTTCGTCCCATTTGTGGCCGGTCCTTCACATTTCTTCTTGTATATCTCTAAAATCCTCTCTTGGGCACAAAAAGAAGAGACGGTTCTGATATTACCGACAGCATCATTAACCACTTGACTCGCTTCCTCATACATCAACTGCAACCGTTAGATGATCAAATAATAATACAATCGTCAATATGCGAATATTTTAAGGTTTATTAGTTTAGAAAATTGTACCTTTGCATCTCTGCTGAACCCTTTGATGGATTTCATTTGTGCATATCCATTGAGAAATAGAAGAGGAAGCATTGCAAGTATGATAAGTGCCAACTGCCAACTTGCTTCAAAGGCTATTGCCAACCCAACTACTGCGGAGGATGTTTCTTGAACAAGCTGTCCTAAAGCATCTCCAACGAGTGCACGAATCATAGCTGCGTCAGAAGAGAGCCTCGTACCTATTACGCCACTCGAGTTTTCGGGCTCGTCAAACCAGCCTATCTCCATGTTAACCACCTTCTCGAAACACATCAGTCTGATTCTCCGTATCAACTTATTCCCAGCAATACCAAATAAATGCGTCTTTGATGGGTTTGAAATTAACGACACCACTCCGAGAATGACAAGCATCAAAGCCCAAAATTCTGATTCCTTCTTTAATTTGTGTGGCAACTCATAGAAAGATTTAATTACACCAGAAAATAATAAGCCGAAAACGGGCAGTATTGCCCCAGCAATAATGGCAAATATAGTTCCTACTATTAACACCGGTGCCTCAGCCTTGTTAAGACGAGCAAGGCGATAAATCGAGACTTCCGGATGCCCTTTTGATGTTTCAGGAGCGTCGACATTTTCAATGGCAAGTGCAGATTTTGAGACCGGCATTGAGTGACTACTGATACTATGTAACGAACCCGAACTCAGAGAACGCGTAGATGATATTATTTGACTAGAGACTCTGCCGAAGTTCATTGTTGTATTTTGTTTGTTGTCAACGTCTTCATGTGTTTCCTGCGAGTGTATGAGGTTCGAATACACCCCTTGATTATCCTTCAGTAGTTCGAAGTGTGTGCCTGAAAGTTGAATACATAACCAATACTGTCTTTAATATTCTTGAGCAGATTCGTGTGAAGGACACTAGTTGATAGAATACATTTGAATTATTATACCTTTTTCGACTATTTTTCCACGGTGAAGGACTGCAATCATATTAGCATTTCTAATCGTGCTCAGGCGATGTGCAACTATGACCGTCGTTCTGTTCACCATTACCTTTTCCAGAGCCTCTTGCACGATTCTCTCAGAGTCTGCATCTAGTGCACTAGTTGCCTCATCTAAAAGTAGAATTCTTGGGTTTTTCACGATTGCTCTGGCTAAGGCGACTCTTTGTTTCTGACCGCCCGAAAGTTGGATGCCGTTTTCTCCAACCATAGTATCTAACCCCTGGAATTAACACATAAACAGTGTAAAGAAACGGGTCGACAAAGAAAAGGAAAACGTTTAAAAATATACCTTGGGAAGTTTATCAATAAAATCAGCTGCATTTGCTAATTTTGCTGCCTCTCTGATATCTTCGAGAGTAGCAGCGTCTTTTCCGTATGCAAGATTATCCATGATGCTGCCTGCGAAAAGAACAGGTTCCTGGCTAACTAGACCTATTTTTGATCTAATCCACTTGAGCTGAAATTTTCTAAGATCAATTCCATCAATTAAAACTTCACCAGCGAGCGGATCATAAAATCTTTCAAGTAAACTAATCACTGTAGATTTTCCACTCCCACTTTGTCCCACCAAAGCTGCAGTGGTGCCGCTAGGAATAATTAGAGAAAACCCATCAAAGATTTGTTCTTTTGGCCTCGACGGATAGCTGAAACTAACATCTCTCAACTCTATATCTCCGATAATGTCATCCAAAATCTCTCCTTTGGTATCATAAGAATCTATGGTTGGTTTTCTATTTATTGTCGCAAACATCTTGTATGCTGCTGTTTGGCCAGCGGCAAATGCACTCAGGGGTGGAGCTGCTTGTCCCAGAGAACTGAAATTAACGATATTCTAAATTATCTTAAAACACATACGCCACACATTTTAAAGGGAAATACAAGTAACAAGAACCATTTTAAAATGAGATATCTCTAAGTGCGACTTACGTGGCACCTATTACCACTGCAAGGAGCACAGTAAACACTTCACCTCCTGTATAACCTTTATGCAAGATCATTTTTGCACCGAACCAAACAGCCAAACCGTAAGTGGAGAACAAGATAAACATGAGCGATCCGGCACCTAGTCCAGTACTCAAGCCTACCTTTACATCGGATTTATAAGAAGCAGTAAGAAATTTTTTGTAGTTAGACACAGCTTGCTTCTCCCCGGTAAATGATGCAACCTTAACACAAATCAACAACACAGCATGTTTTTGCATCAGCCTTGAGATTTGATATTCGCAATCTACGGATTCAAAATGGGGTGTATAAACTCACAGTTCTTATTGATCCAATTGTTTGTTGGACAACATTGGCAGCATTGCCGTACGCCTTTTCTGCTTCGAAAGCTGTCTTGGATCTAAGAACGTGCATTATCCCAGCGGAAATAACGATCAATGGGATTGATGTCAACAAGACTAATGTAAGAAGCCACCCTTTCACAAAGGCAATTATAAATCCTCCTAAAAACGCTGAAACCACCTGAACAAACTTTCCCACCTGCACACGAGACGGAAGATGAGAATCACAATGCATAGTAACAATAATAACATCAACGAGTCGAAAAGGACCACCTTCTCCCCAATGGCATCTTGAATGAGAATCGTGTCATTAGACATCCTTCCAATTACTTCTCCAGTGCTTACTTCCTGGTCAAAGTACGCGATTTCTTGTCGCAGTATCGTTTCCAGATAAAGACTCCTTACCCTTGCAGACTGCCTTTCGCCCGTAATCATCCAAAAAGCAACCTCTAGAAAAAACAGAAGTTGTACTATAGTTTCAAAATAGGGAAAATAAATTGAGGGAAAAAAATTATTGTTAATAGCACTTACGAAGAAAAGCTGCTGCCCCGCATCCCAAAGCCAAGTACACGAATTTCAGAGATACCTAAATTTTATGATAAAGCTAAGTAAAATGGCATCTTTCAGTGCTTGAAACTAATTCTGCAATAAATTGAGCAATATATATATATATATATATATATATATATATATATATATATATATATCTATGTATATATATATATATATATATATCACAAGTGACAAATTTTAACGCAGAAACAATTTCTTTTACATGTTCCGATGATGTTTAATGGATAAAGAGAAGTTCTAAAATCTCAATTATCTAAATTTTTCGTCTTCTTTTACATACCTTAGACACGACTGATACAACGTCGTTGCTTCCAGCTTCTCCGAAAACATCGATCAACTCCCCGAAAAGGAGTGACATGAGCGGTTGCGACAAACCATTACCAATAGCAGCAATTGTACCTATTATCATCAGAAATTTGTCCCTCGAATCTGCAAACGAGAACAGCTTGTAAAATCGGACGGTGTTTTGCTTCTCTTTTTCCTCGGCAGGGCTTTCTTTTACTCCGGAGGTTGTCCCCGATTCTGTTTCCATCTTAATTTTTAACGTGGAAACCCTGACTTGTATCACCCGTATTTACATTGTATTCCCTGTTCAACCATCAAACACACTATAGCAATTACACATCTTTTCGGAAAATTTCCATCAATATGCAGCTTATGTTATGAAAATTATCTCCCAGTCTTATAGTGGGCAGAAATGACTTAGTTTGACTAAAATTGGTAAAGCAGCGAAATCTTCCGAAGAGTCTCAAATGATATCTTAAGTCTAAACTGTTCGATCGAACATACACTGCGAAATTGGACCCCCGAAAAAAAAAAATGCAAACTCATAGCTAAAAACAAGATTGTGAGGGTACCAATATCTAAAAATGTCACCAATATAAGACGTGCTTCACCAATAGCCGAGAAAATCGAAACAATCTTAAACTTTTACCGTTGCAGTTGAGATCAGTCTATATATCATAGTCAATAGTAAATGAAATAATAAATAATTAATCGACCTTTTTTTCTGGATTGATATCCAATTCGATAGTGGATTTCACATCATTATCTCTGAATTCAAACTAAATTCGCAGTTATTACGGTGGAGTTTGAATCTATTCTATATCGAATATGGAGAGTAGTTTGAATTTTTTTTTCCCCCAAATCCTCTCATAAAATGAAATAATTTCCTTCAATCAAATGCAAATGATGTCTTCCATTTATTTTCTAGCAAAAATCACATCCCATGCAATATATGTATATATATATATATATATATATATATATATATATATATATATATCATCATCATCATCATCATCATCATCACCTTCATTAATAATTATCAACAATCACAAATGCCAAACAAAATGCTTCTGAAAATCGAAAAACAACAACAAAAGGAAATCAAGCAAACAAATAATAGAAGAGAGATTCCGAATTTACCGATTTCCTATTTGGGAGATTGTTCATCGGAGAAAGGGGGAAAACGCAACAAGAAAAAAATAGGATTTTCCCAGCGAGATTTCAAGTTGCGTACAGGAGCTGCATTCCGGCGGAGGTTCTTCTCCAAAATGAATGCCATTATTGAAAACTGAAGTTCCCCCAACACGCTAACCGTCCGTTGAATTGTGCGACGGGGGAATATAATATACAACACTAGCAACGATCTTAAAATAAATTATAATATACGCCATAAACAGTTGACTACAGATCATTTTCACCTATTTTTTTATTCTGATTTTTTGAAGTGGAGGTCAATCTTCTGGATTCTGCCATCTTCTACTAACATTTCCTTTTTATTTCCATAAATTAATACCCCATAAATTAATAGTCTTGTTTAATTAATAATGTTTTTTGCCTCACACAAAAAACTTACTAAATTATTAGTTTGATAATTTAATATTTTATTAAATTAATAAAAATTATTAGTTCCGACTGTTGTATTAATTATATATATATAAACAATATTAATTTGAATAATTACGTTCGAGTGAAATAAATGTTCGTTAGATATGACTGAACCCAATAAAAATTATGTCATATTACGGCTACCACATGAATTAAGATTGAAAAAAAAAAAAATACAACCACTCTTTAATTATATATTGTTTTTACGAGAAAAAACCCTTCATCAAGTAGGTAAATTTGTCACTATAAATATAGATGTGCAAAACAGTACCTAGTTGATAGTTGGTCGTAATTATCCAAATAAGAATGATTTTTTTTCGTAATTTAACCGTAACTGGGGTGACCGTAATTTGCCCCAAAAAGTATATATTTATCATTTTATTTGTTTTGCAACATAAAAAGTATTATATTATTATAGTGGAGCAATATTAAAAAAAAAAAAAAAAAAAAAAAAAAAAAAAAAAAAGAGGTTTTAATTAATTGTGACATATATAAATTGATTAGTTGGAACTTTGATAGAATAGTATGGCTTAGTAATATATTTGTTTGAAAAGATTTGTGTATACACGAGCCTGAAATAATTAAATATTAGTATTTAATTTAATTAGTAGCACCTTTTTTTTCAATATTAATTTTGTAAGTGCGACCAAAAAAATAAATGATATTTTTATTATTAAAAATATCATTTAATCATATTTTTGCTAATTAAAGGATTTTACTGAAAAATTTCAATAATACCATAATTTATAAATTCAATATAAAATGTAATTGAATATCTTACTAACTAATTAATTAATTAGTAATTAGTTAGTAAAATTAATACGGTCTAATCAAATCCAAAGAAAATGGGCCATCCAAGTTTGTTTGGGCTGAGTACAATTTACACACAAACATTAGCCCAAAAAATCAAGGGTTTAATGCAGTAGGGGTACTCCGTAATTTCAAAGCAAATGAAGGACATTTCTCGTAAATAATCAAACTATATAAGCCTCGCCAATGAAAAGAATTAGGGTTTCTCCTCAGTCGCCCATTTAAGCTTTTGCGAGAGATTGTTCTTGCGACAAAACCAGCTGCAGCAAAACAGCAACAATGGTGGAGAAGGGTAGCAAAGCCAGGAAGGAGGAGGTCGTCACCAGGGAGTACACCATCAATCTCCACAAACGCCTTCACGGCTGGTACTTTCTCTCTCTACCCCCTCTCTCTCTCTCTCTCTCTACAAATCTGTATTCGCGCGTTCCTCTAGTGTTAGATCTTCAATAATTTTTCATTTCGTTTTTTCGCCGGGCGATTTAAAGCCCTAGATTTGGTGTATATGACTGATTTTGTAGTGGTGTTCGTTTTTCAATGTTTCAATCCCCTGAAAATAGTTGAGGATTTTTATGTTAATCATTTTTCTGCGACATGAAATGGGATTGAGCACTGTGTTAATTAATTAACTGCTTAAACATGTTTTCGATGTCGAAGATTGCTTGGAGAAGGGCGTTTGATTGAATTGATTGTATTCATGAGCAAAAGTAGCTTCTAAAATGAAATTGAAGTGTGTTAGAAAACCTATCTTGAAGCTATGAAATTGGAGTCTTTTTTTTTAATTTCAGTTATTTTTTATTAATATCAAATCGATATCTCCGTTTTTAGTTTTCGTTTTTGCCTTCATTGACTTTGTATGCTGTAGTTCCTTACTTGGTGTTCTTACTGATATATCCGATTTACGTTTACTTGTCATTTATGTATTTGTGCTCTGTATCTCATCACTCATGGCCTGTTTATTTGTTCAGTCCGATTAACTTCTCGTTACTATATGAAAAATGTTATTTACCACAACGCCACCAGCTCTTGGATTCACAGATTATTTTCGCCATTTCTGTTCATTGTTAGCTTTGATGCTTTTCTAGCTCTCTCGATAAATGCAATTTAGCTTTCTATGATCTGCTTAATTTTTTCGCCTATTACAAATGTTTCACGGAATTTGGGTTGGGATTTCATTATCTTAATCATGTCATGTATGTGCTTCAACGTATTAATTAAATCAAATCACGTTAACGATTGTAGCACCTTCAAGAAGAAGGCTCCAAATGCGATCAAGGAAATCAGGAAATTTGCCAAGAAGGCAATGGGGACCACAGACGTCAGAGTTGACGTGAAGCTGAACAAGCACATATGGAGCCGTGGAATCCGAAGTGTGCCGAGAAGGATCCGCGTCCGAATTGCGAGAAAGAGGAACGACGATGAAGATGCTAAGGAGGAGCTTTACTCTTTGGTGACCGTCGCAGAAACTCCCGACGGTGGTTTGAAGGGTTTGGGCACCCAAGTCATTGACGAGGAAGAATGAATTTTTTTCGGTTTCCTAAATTCATTTTTGCTATGCCTCAGGTTTTATTATTGTCTTTGGAGATTTTGAAGGATTGTTATGTGACTGGATGCAATTTTTCTTTTTTGAGACATAAATCTTTTATTAGTATTTACATTATATTACTTCTAGAATGGTATGTTTAAATTGTTTGTTTTGATATTGCTGCTCTTTAATTGATATGTGATGATTTGTGATAATTGATATATATTAATGTACACCGGGGGTAGAAATTATAATTAAAAGGGTTTTAATTATACAATTCTGAAACAAGTTTATCTCATTTCAAATTCTTAATTTTTAATTTTTCAATTTAATTTATGTTTTTGTTCCAGCAATTCCAATCTTTTACTCAGGTAAATTATGAAAACCCCTTGAATTTGGCCTACATTATGAAAGAACATCCCCAATTTATCCGCAATTATCAAAATTTCCCCATATTTTTTCTGGTCTTTAAACTGACCTCGTGCTAAAAACTACCCTGCGATGGATAACGGCTAACTGCAGTACTAAAAAGTTGTTAAAGTGTTACTTAAGAAGAATAAAGATTCTGTGAGATCCCTCTAAGAGTAGTTTTTGTCTTTACAAAATAAGCATAAAGAGATGACACGTCTGCAGGGGTATAATCGGTATTTTGAATATCTATGGACTCAAAAAGATTATTATGTGACGGAAACAAATATATGGGGGATTTTAGTAATTACGGATAAATGGGGGTATCTTTGGCAATTTGGCCTAAGTTCTGGGTCTTTTGTAATTTACCTTTTTTTTTTTTTAATTCCAATTCTGGATTTGTTTTTGAAATATATTGAAACGAAATGGAAATTAATTCCGGTTTCGATCTGATCCAGTATGTACACACACACACACAAAAAGCAAATTCAAATTGCTCAGAAAAAATCTATTTCCCGCGTTGACGAAAGAGTAGCGAACACACTCCCATTTTGCTTCAGTTTATGAGCTCTGAGTTCTGAGTTCCGAGTTTCCGACGCCGATTAGGGTTTTTGTAATCAATCTCTCGCAGCAGCTTTCTCTCCCGGCAATCTCTGGTAAGCACATCCAACTGTATTCATATCTTTCCATTCCTCCCGGCGAATTCAGAATTAGGTTTTTTGATTATAAACAGTTGTTCGATTTCTCTCAGCATTAGCGTGTATCAAGTTGATTAATTGCATAGTATTATGGGCATCCGATTCGATTCACTTTTCTGGGCTAATTAATTCAAATTGGTGTTTTTTTTTTGTCCTTGGTGATAATCTGATTAATGAATTCACATTCATACTATTTAATTTGGAATTTACCCAACTTTATCTTGTTGGTGCTGCCGCATAGCATCTTGCACTGTGTGAAAATAGTTTAAAAATATAATATTTAATTTATTGGGGTTGAGTATTCATAATATCATGTGCCAATCTATGTTTTGGTTGCGTTTGTCGTTCGGAAAACTAACTGAATCTTTCAGTTCACATATGTACTTATAGGGTTTGGTTTTAGATTAGCAGAACAGTTCTGCTTGTGGGCAGAACATTAATATATGCAGTGAAAAAAGGGAGGAGGCTGAAAAATATACTACTTATGGTGCCTTTGTATCAATTGCGGTAATACGTTAAATAAGACGAGATGCATAAAGAATTGATCGATATTGGTGGAAGATTTGTAAGAATCTGAGATTAAATTCGTTAGATAATTAGTCAAAACATTTACGTCTTTTAGCGCTTACGGCTTCTATGTACCGTTTCATTCGATTTGGTTTAGCAGAGTCTTGGTGATAAGTTTATTAAGTCGTTCTCAAGTGATACTGTTTGTGACCGGATTCAATGCTTTGAAATCTAAGTATTTATTTTGAATATAAAACCCTGTCCTAATGCAATTGAAGTTTATTTCTAGAGTTCTTTTTTTCTTTTTTTTTTGGATTTGATGGCTCTGGTGTGAGGATGAAACTGGTTCAATCTGGTGAATCGAATCGAATCGATTCGTTTTAGAAATCACATCTTTTTCAGCATTAGCATATTATTATTACAATTTCAAAATTTTTGCTACATTATCTTTTGGTTTTTTGTTCTCAGCTTGATAACTCTCTGTTCTTTGATGATCAAGAAAAAACATATGCAATAATCATGCAACTCATCTTTGTAGTTTTTCGAGTGCAGGTACACACGTCGTTTTCACTCTTATCAACTTTGTAAGAGATGGAAAGCAATTTACAAAAGTCTCCTAAGCTGGGGCATCCTGCCGATACTTCTGATGCAAAATATGTGTCTGGGCTCAGCACGATTCTGGTTGCAACTATACAAGAAGCTAAAGACAGGATATCTCAGATAGAGTACATATTTTGCAGTCAACTCTTTCCCAATTTTCAGACGAATTTCCAAAGCTTGCAGAAAATACTTTCCGAAGCAAGAGAAGCTGCCGAATCTGAGTATAAAGACAAGGAAAAAGACCTGCTACTCCAAATCGAGAAGCTTCAGTGTCAAAAGCAGCAAGTTCTGGAAGAAAATCAATCGCTGAAAAGGGAGAAGGATAGATTTATTAACACGGAAGGCCAGTCATGTAACCGTTTAATGGAACTTCAGAACGAGTTGAAACAGAAAACTGCTGAAGCAAATGAGGTAAGAGAAGCACATCAAATTTTGCAGAAACTTCTTGAATCAAAATCGTCCCACTTACATAGTTATGAAAGAACAATAAAAGATCTTGAAGAAAAAAATTCCGTGCATCTGAAAATGCAAAAGAAGCTGGAGGTTGATAATAACGAGTTGCGCCTAGAGCTAATGAAGAAATCTAAGGAAGTTGATGAGGTAATGGAGTTGCAGAATAAGCTTCTCCAAGTTAACCAATCAAAAGCCTCTTTGATAGTGCAGAAGGAAATCCAATTGAAGAATCACGAAGAGAAAATAATCGGGCTCATTTCTAAACTCAAGAATATTGAGAATAACGTTTATGAGATGGAGTCGGAACTCAGAGACAAGACAAAAGAAGTAGAGAAGGGGAAGGAATTGCAAGGAAATTTGCTAAAGAAAATGGAATTTCAAGCCTCTGAAATAATGAATAACGAACAACTATTGAGTAAGTATGAGATAGAAAATCGAGCTCTTGCAGCAAAACTAGAGAGTTTGGTGAGTTGTACCGATGAGCTCCAGAAAGAACTCGGGAGAAAAAATTCTGAACTGGAGGAGTTTAGAAAAATGAAAGGGCAGTTCGTCCAACAAAGCGATTCATTTAATTTCGGAAACATCAAGAAAGAGCAATCATTAGAAGAATTTGACGAGGAGAGGAAACGGCTTTTGGATAAACAGAAATATTTGGAAGATAAAGTTGAGAAGCTCGAAAAAGGTCTCTCTGATAGAATCGAAGAGTCTTCTGAAGGGATGGAGTTGCACGGGAAGCTGTTGCAGCAGATTCAGGTAAAAGATTCCGATTTACAATCTGAAAAGAGGAAGAAAAGGGATGCTATTGTAGCTTATAAGAAGCTCAAATCTGAATACAACTTTCTCTTGAAAAAATATGCTCTTACTCAAGAGACTATGCTGCCTCCCGACAAAATGGGAGACGAAAGTGAAACAATCCGACACTATCAAACTCCAGTACCATCACGTGGTAAGAATCACGGTTTTAAAATTTTCAGAAAATTCGGAAAATATCTTGCTCTCCATCCTAATATCGTGCTAACATCCTACTAATATTTAGCCTTATTTGATGAAAGTTCGGAAAATATCTTGCTCTCCATCCTATTATTTCAATGCATGCATAATTTAGATAGTTGATATCGTAAGTTTTTGAGCCTCTTTGATATGTGGCTGTCCTCATTTCCTTTTATATCTCTATTTGCAGATATTGATAATCATACTTCAAAGGTTTCTGGCACCGCTAGTGATGTAATAAAACCAGTGAACGAGCAAGAATTACTAGAGGGGAAAAAAGGAGTTCCGTTCGTTCAGAAATCTAGTCCCGTCTCACCATCTACTTCAAATATTCCCGTCGCTCCAAGATTCCCAAGCAGTGTAAAAACTTGTCCGCCAGCTGGCGCAAAGCGCCCTCTCTCGTACTGGAGGGACACCCGGTCCCACCAGAGCCGTGTGGGACCCGACCCCCATGACGATTTTCTCGACACTCCTCTTGAAAACGTGAGAGGAAATTTAGGGAAGATGGCGAAGCAGAACATTCCGGAAGTTTCTAAACCAAGTCCAGTAGACACTACGCTCGATAACTCCGAAACACAGGACATGGATGCTGATGCTGAACGGGAAATGATGCGCACGTCGCCACCTCCAAAGACTGGAGCATCGGGTTTTAAGTATGTTGAACCGGTACGAAAGAAATTTATGAGGGATAATCTGAAGGGCGTTGAATGCAAGCAATGCAAGAAGTTCTACGATGCAGTTCTTCCTGGCGCTGGTGGCGAAAATTCGAAGCAAAACAACCGCTGCGAGCACCACGAGGGGGTGTCTAGGCATCGATATAGGTATGCGCCTCCTTTAACTCCTGAGGGATTTTGGAATATTGGTTTTGAGTCTGAAATGTAGGGTCTCCTTCGAGTTAGTTATATTTTCCGGATTGGATTTAATTGCAAATAATATGGTTTTATAGTATAATTCGATTTTCACTTAAACTCTGGTATTAATAGTTGCTGATTGCAAACATCAAGATCTCTATGCTATATTTGATATATATATATATATATATATATAT